GTCGCCGGGCGCGCGCCGTGGAACGACGAGTAGCAGTGCGTCGGGTCCGCCGCGTCGAACGCGCCGGCCATGCGCGCCGCGACGACGGCCTTGAGCCGCTTCGCGCCGATGGCCTCGCCCGGGGACAGGGCGTCGACGCCCCGCGTCGCCTCGGCGACGGCCCGCGCGAACTCCGAGGGCACGACGGGCACGAGGTGCGCGTCGTCGCCGGGGTCGACGTCGAACTCGCCGAGGAGCCGCGCGGCCCAGGCGTCGCCCGCGGCCGGGTCCTTGGACAGGAGGATCCTCACGTAGGCCGCGAGGGTCTCGGCGAACGCCGACGGCGCCGCGGCCCGCCGCGCCGGCGGGAAGTCGCGGACCCACGCGAGCTGCCCCGTCTTCCCCCAGTCGCCGCCGTGGAAGTTCGCCGTGCCGACGCTGACGCGGAGGCCGCCGCCGGCGAGCGTCGCGACCATCAACTTGGCGTGGGCCGTCGCCTTCGCGTAGTCCGCCTCCGGCGCCGCGACGACGGCGTCGCGCGCGCCGACGTCGCCGCGGAGCGCCTCGCCGTCGACGACGACGACGACCCGCGCGTCCCGGGGCGCGTGCGCGCGCAGGAACTTCTTCGTCTGCCGGGCCGCGTTCGTGCCGAACGTCGTGACGAGCGCGCTCGTCACGCCCGCGAAGAGCTCCCGCGGCGCGAGGTCGGCGGCCGACGCCGGACGCGAACTCCGCTCCAGCGCGTTGGCGTAGACGCGGTGCGACTCCGCGAAGCTTCGGGCCCGCGCGGCGGGAGGCGCGCGGGGCGCCGCCGCGTCGTCTTCGTCGTCGTCGAGTTCGACGGCGTTCGACGAGCAGCGCCCGCGAGCGGCGCCCGTCTCGTCGTCGTCGACGTCGATGTCGATGGCATTCGACGGGGAGCGCCCGCGAGCGGCGGCCGTCTGTTTCTCGTCGTCGCTGCTGCTGTCGTCCAGGAGGCCTCGCTTCCGGCGCTTCTTCGGCGGCTCGGGTGCCTCGTCGTCGGAGCTCTCTTCCCAGAAGGGCTTCGTGGCCATGGCGACGCAGCGGGCTGGGTCGGGCCACTGCGCGAACGAGAGCTCGTCGCGGCGCGGGTCTTGGGCGCTGCCACGCTGCCGGAGAGCTCCGCACGATCGATCTCTACACTAAGTCTTGTAGACAAGAGCTTCACCTCGACTTCGCCCTGCCTGCTCCATCGACCCCCCAGGCAGGCCATGCGCTCCCTCCGGTGGTTCGCCGCCGCGCTGCGCCTCGCCGCCGCCGCGTCGTGCGTCGGGTCTTGGCCGCCGATCCGCGACCGCGCGTCGAGCGCGAGCGACTCGGACTCGGAGGCGCGGTCCAGCGCGCGGTCCAGCGCGCGGTCCACTGGCAGCGCGTTCCGCCGCGACGCGCAGTGGCACCTCAAGTACAGCGCCTCCTTCTGCGGCGCCGCGGCGAAAGCGCCGCCCGCGGAGGCCGCCTGGCCCGTCGTCTGCACGCCGCCGTCGTGCTACCCAGATTTGCAGTGGGCGGAGAGAGAAGTGTAGAGAGTCAGAGTTTAGTTCCGCATGAACGAGGGGGGGAGCGTCTAGTGTAAAGCTTACTGTAGGCAGGAGGGGCGCGCGCGCGACGGGCGCTTGAGACGGGCGCGCGGAACGCGAAGAGCGCGCGAGCGAGGGCCGAGCGAGCGAGGCGGGCGCGCGGTCCGCGGGGCGAACGAAACAGTCCGCGAGGCGGTCCGCCGAGGCCTCTCCCGGAGAGAGGTGTGTCTCGACATCGCATGCTTCAAGCACATCTCTTCTGTCCAAAGGGTGGTGTTCGAAAACACCGGTTGTGGTTTGGGGCGGTCGTCGCCGCCGAGCGACGCGCGGCGGCTGGGCGACCAGGACGACGCTTAGGAGCGCTCGCCGCGGATGCGGCGCGCGAGCTGGATGTCCTTGGGCATGATCGTGACGCGCTTGGCGTGGATCGCGCAGAGGTTCGTGTCCTCGAAGAGGCCGACGAGGTAGGCCTCCGCGGCCTCCTGGAGCGCGAGGACGGCGGAGCCCTGGAAGCGGAGGTCCGTCTTGAAGTCCTGGGCGATCTCGCGGACGAGGCGCTGGAAGGGGAGCTTGCGCACGAGGAGCTCCGTCGACTTCTGGTAGCGGCGGATCTCGCGGAGCGCGACGGTGCCCGGGCGGTAGCGGTGGGGCTTCTTGACGCCGCCCGTGGCCGGGGCGGACTTGCGCGCCGCCTTGGTGGCGAGCTGCTTGCGGGGGGCCTTGCCTCCCGTGGACTTGCGTGCGGTCTGTTTCGTGCGGGCCATGGTGTTGTTTGGTGTTTGGAGGAGGTCCTA